AAAAGAATAATTTTTTTAACTTCTCAAACGCATTAAATAAAAAATTAAGAAAACTAAAAAATCAAAACAAAACAAATAAAAAACCCACTTTGGTGTTGTTTGGTACAACTTAAAAGATGATAATCTAAAATCACCCAATTTTTTTAAATTAATTTTTTTAACTAATTTAAGTTATTTTTATCTAATAAATTATAAATAAAAATTATATCAAACAATCTAACTTAACTTTTTAAAAATTAAAATTAAAATTAAACAACTCAAATAAACACCAAACAACCCCATTATAGGTCGTGAAAAATGCTTTGGAGTTCTAATTTTTGAATTCTGGAGCTAACTCTAATGAGTTGATAGTAAGCCCCCACCCATTATAAAGTGATGTTTTGGTTTCTCTCTTTTTTTTTTTTTTTTTTTGCCTTATCATGTTATTAATACTTCATTAAAGTACTAAAATTAATATTCTGAATCATTATTGTATAGGCTATTTCAACAACAGTAATGCTACAGACCCCCAGTTGGGGTGACCCCCAGTGACCCCCCAGTGCCACGTGTCGGCCTGGGGTGGCTGGAAACTCAAAAAAAAAAGAAAAAATTGTTTTTTTAGACCAATGGGAAGGGACCCCAGTACCCCCACTGGGGTCCAAAGCTTTATTCATTTCAACAATCCAACAGAATCGTTGGACCACCAAAAGTTGAAAAAAATGTTGCGTAGTGTCAAAACTCTTTAACTTCTTACACTGACACTACTCTTTCAGTATTCAATTCATCCCACCCTGAGCCCATTTTACAAGGACCTGTTTGGCCAAAATTGCAAGTGGTCATTATTATTACCAATGAAAATGTCAGTGGGCCCTTTTTGTACTTTCCACATAGTAGTAAAATTACAATGCAAGAGTCCTCTTATTGCTATGGCAATTCTGATTTTGGTCCCTTGTGTGTGTTTGTAGCTCTTGCTTCTAGGTATATCCCCAACCCATTATAGGACTTGTTTGGCTCTAACATAAGTGGTCCCCTTTTGGATTCTCTTCAAAACCTCTCATCAACTTTAAAATCAGTTTTTTACATTATATATATAGTTTTTCTCATAGTAAATTTGTGATGGGACTGTGTGTGATGACTTCTTTTTTGTGTTCATATTCATTGGTAAACTTGAGAAGCTGAGAGCTCACCCTTCAAGGCCTTTTCTTTAAAGGACATGTTTGGCAACAGTGAAAGTGGTCCCTTTTCTGTTTTTACTATGAGATCTCTATCCCTTCATCAACATCAGTCCTTTAAAGGTCAGTGGACCCCCCACAATTTCTTCACAATCAGAACAAAATGCAACGAAATGGGCTTTTTTCTCATACTTCTCTCTTCTTCTTTTTCTTCTTTTTTTATTATTAAATTTTATATTGATATATTAGATTAGTTTTCTCTTATATTTGGAAAAAATATAATAAGTTCCGTAATTCTAATATAATTATATTGATTTTTATTTTAGAAAAATTAAAAAGACTAAAAACTAATGTAAATTAAATGAAGACACAAAAAAAGATATCATAATATGTATTTTGTATGTAAAATATATGATAATATTATCTTTTATCGATAGGACTAATAAATTATTAGTGAATCATATTTTTTTTCATGGATATGACTCACAAATTACTAGTGAAAATAGAGTTAAGTGTTTTGTTAAGGGATCCCAATATTATAATGTCAAATTTATGGAATTTACTATTTTTTTTTTCTAATTTTTATAAAAGTTTAATATAATTTATTTATTTATTTTTAGCATAAGAATCCAAAGCAAAAAGACAGGTTTGGAAGACTTTTCTTATATGGACCTTTAGTTTTTTGTTCTCACTTTGGTCTTACTGTTTTCTTTTTTTTTTGGGTACATCAGAAAATACTTATGCTGTGTTTGGTTGGAGTTTTTGAGGTGGGATTTAGAAAAGGAATAAGAAATGTAATCCTATTTATGTTTGGTTATAATAAAAAATATATGGGAAAAGAAAGGGGGTGAGAAATAAATAAAGAAATAGGATACATTTTAGGACATCAATTCTATTTTATAACCAACACAACCAAACATAGTTGGGATTTGGAATTCTATTAATTCTTTTTCCTTTTCCTTTCATTTCCATTTCCCTTTCCATTTCCCTTCCCAAATCCCCCAACCAAACACAGCGTTACTGTTTTCAATTTTTCTTATTTGCTCAAACAACCAACATCAGTTTAAAATTTGACAAAAAAATGTGAGGTTGGTCACATGGCGCAAAATGAGATAAATTATATTTTATTTTTTAAAGTTAATATATTTTCTTACTATCGTCTTTGAAAAAAAATTCTTTACTTAGGTCCTAACATTTGTTAAAAAAAAAAAGTTTCTACAATGGTCAACTTACATCCAAAATTAGATAAAAATGTCACATTAACAATAATGTGAACACATTATTATACAAATATGTAACTGTCAATGGGTAAGTTTCTATCCAATTTTGAATGAATATTAGCTATTGGAGCAAATCAAAAATAAACAAATAAATAAATAACCATCAGGAACCTAAATAAATGAAAAAAAAAAAAACACTTTAACGATCAAAATGAAAAAATATTACAATTTAAAAAGGACAAAGTATAATTTACTCATATTTGTGTAATAAAGTGTTATGATGTCACGTGGTGTAATGCTACTATTAATGCGACATTTTTCATTCAATTTTGAACTAATGTTAGTTGTCAGAGCAAACTAAAACGAAATTTAAAAACATTAATTATCAAAATTTAAGGCCCATGGTAAAAAAAATATATATTAAACTTAAAAGAGACCAAGAGTCATTTACCCAAAAGAAAATGATAATATTAAGCATAGATTGCCATCTATTGAAGCAAAAGACTATTGCAGTTTTTCGGAATATTGTTGTCCTTTTGGCTTCAAGTAAAAAACAAAATTGGATCTATACATGAGAAATGAGAAAAAAAAAATTAATAAATATTTGTCAAAATATTTTTATCTTGTTTGATTATCCATAAAATATGAATGAGTAATTTTATTTCTCTTTGGTTTATTTTCCCATGACAAATCCTAGATCAAAACAAAGCACAAATTAATTAAAGCAAGAGGATGCCTTCTCTTAAAAAAAAAAAAAAACGTAAGAAGACTGTCTACCTATTTACCTATTTAAAGTAATAGTGCTTACCATAGTTAATTAAAGAGAATTAAAAATTGTGTTTAGATTTTAAATTTATAAAGAGAAATAAAAGAAATGCCCTTATTAATTTTATTTTTTTTTTAAGTACATGTTACGAATTTTTTGGCATCATTATGATAATTTGTGATTCAAAAATAAAATTACGCATTTTTTGGGTAATATTACATATTTTTTTTATCGAAAAATTTTTGAACTACAAAATGCATAACACTAACACAAAAATATGTAACATCATTTCTGAACTCCCAATTATCGTAACGCCACCAACAAATCACATAACATTTATCACAAAAATATGTAACATATATCAAAAAACTACATAACAAGATGCATAATCCCAGATTTATAAAGTAGGAAAAAATATATATAATAAATTTGTGAAAACAAATCAGCTTCTGGTTCATTACATTTCCCTTTTCTTTTTTATCTCCACAAATTATTTTCAAATTTTAATATTGAAACACAACCTTAAATGTACTAAAAACACACTAACTATAGCCAAATGGGGTCTGTGGAGGACATGGCACATGGAAAGAGATACTATACAAAGGCATTGGAATTGTTTGCATTCCCTCTACAAACATGTAATGTCACACCAAACTATCTACTTCTTGATTATGCTAAGAACTTTTTTTTGCAAGGAATATTGTACTTTGGGAATATTATAAGATCATGATATAACATCCATCATGGTAATGTCGAACTTGAAGACTAAGCATAGCTATGTAAAACAATGTAGTATGAGATATTTTCCACATTAGCTTTGGAGTTCTAGGAAATATTGAGAAAAGTACATGAACGACAATATTTGAAAATTTGGAACATCAAAATTGGATGTTTCATGGTGAGATTAGTAAGGGGCTATGGATCCATAATGCTTCTGAAGTATATCAAACTAATGTATTGATAACTTAATCAGATGATATTCAAAATTTGATGGTATTATTGAAATGGATATTATGCATATATATTGAAAAATAAGTCATGCATGAGCCTTTACCAACATGGGCTAAAGATGTGCAACAAAGGGCATAGTGGCATACATAGGCTTTTTGATAGGTCAAGGAATTTTCTAAACCCAAAAAATAAAATTAAAAACCATGGAATTCTAACTTTTATACTAGGGTAGCTTCTAAATACACATCTTAAATTTCTCACTATATCCACCAATGCATTGTAGCACTTGTACCTTAATAAGAAAGTCTTGACCAACAAGCTCTAGGCCCAAATAGTTTGAGACATAGTTGTGCTATGACTCTTGGGCCTCCATTTTATATTATGGGCTTTCACCATTCCTAACTCACATAAGCTTTGCATTTGACACCATTCCACATCCATATAAAACCATACCTAAACACAATTCAAATTCATGGTTGAAAAGAAAATTTCAAAATATAAAATTGAAGTTAAAAAGAATTTTAAAAAAGTATGTACAGTTTGGTCCCATTGGATGGAGATTTGGGAGTGATAAATTGGGTGCAGACCTAACGTTAGGCATAAATTGCACAAGGTTATCTCTACCTTCACGTTCAAATCCACAATCAATAGAGAGAAGAGACTAAACTAGGTATGCTTTTCACATTTAGGGCTTATCGGAGCCAGAAGTACAATGATGAACATGAGAAATAATTTAAACTCACATGGTTCCTACTCTTCTCAAATAAATTTTGAAGCCTGGAAGAAATTTCTCATGAATGTTACTTAAAGCTCCATTAAACTATTATTTTAAATGATTTTTTTTTATTTTTTTTTTTTTTTTTTTTTTCATGTTCAACTTCTAAACTAAAAGAATTCATGAACATAGAGATATTGAGTGATGAGTCCTCCTTTTCTTTCTTACTTCAAACTTATGGCAAAAATTTTGTTTCCTATGAAAACAATAACATGTGATATAAAATACAGAACAAATGAATCACAGTACTAAATTAAGGTAGACTAGGAGAAAGAGTAGGTTTTGCCACCTTGAGCTCTCCACAGTCACTAATATAAACAGTCTTGAGAGGCTTGTTCCAGATTGCACGGGCAGTTTTGGCTCTTTCATCTCCAAGAAACTGTGCCAAATCATTGTATTGGCGGATCCTTTCCCCGGGTCTGTACGTGGGGATTGAAGCTATTGTTGTCACAACATCCAACCCTGATTTCCAATCCAACAAGGAGAGGAAATGGATTAATTTCATGTAAAATAGTACGAAGAAAAAACGAATGGTTACATTTCAGTTCCTAGATCAATTGCAATTGCAGTGAAAACAAAATAATATAAAATATTCAAGTTCCTCAATAATAAATTGTTGATCACCATCTCATCTAAAAGCTTGGTGATCAATTTAACATGGCATTAGAGCAAACAATAGACCATGGGTTCAAAATTCACTACCTACCCAATAGTTATAATCCTTGTACATGTTTGATCCAGTCACGGAGAGTCTAACCACACATGAGAGGAAATCAATATAAAGTTGTCCCCTCTTTAATAGTTTAAACTTTTAGATGAGTTCGTGGACAATGATTTAACACTAAACTCTTGGTGAAAACACAAGAAGACTATTACAAGTAGTACGGCCAGAAAAGATCAGCAAATTTTGGAAACCATAAGGCAAGTGGGATTGACAAAGAGCACATATTCATGAGCACGGACAATTTGATGGAAATGTGAGCTTGATACTACCTATAAGATTATGGAAGATGGGAGAATGATGATGAAGCATGAAGAATTATGTGTTGCAAAGTCATCAAAATCAGAATGAAATAGCTGATGCATTCTTTTCCTTTCAATCAGTATCATGAAACTTACATTCAAAGTCCAACAACACAATACAGCAATCATACAACAAACTGAACAACCCAACAATTAAATAAGAAAGACCCCCTAAAAAATACAATGGGATAAAGACCACACATAGATGGGGAGATTGGAACCTCAAATCTCCTAGTGAAATGCAGAGACATTGGTTCTGGCAGATGCATTGACATAAGGCTAGCTTCTCTATAAACACACCTTGTATTCATAGCAAAATGGAACAAATCCAAGTAATGAAATCCCACAGTTCGTAGCCTCATACGAAAGCATAATAAAGTGACAGAGAAAGCTTTGTAATGCTTAAGAGGTGAGTGAATAATATCCAGTTTGGCGTATTCTGTTTTGTGATTGATTCTTGTATAATTTTGATCCCACATCTCCCCTCATAAATTGGTATCATAGCAATAAAATTCTCACAATTGACATGCACAATTAAAATATAGGATGTGTTTTTAACCTTTAGCTGCAAATACCCACCATTGATAGTGAACCATAAGAGGATTTAGGTTAGCAAGATTGGGTATGTGCCACATCCTAAACAACTAACAAAAGGTTAAACTTTCATCATCTAACTCTATGCCATGTTTCTGAAATAGGACCTGGCTTACTTTGCTTAATATTATCAAATAAATTGTTAGAAACCGTGCATAAAATCAGAAGAGATATCCATGAAAGGTAGAAACTCCAGAGGGCAAGTTGAACCACATTTCCAAGTTCAACTTAAGCACAAATGTCAAAGTTGCAAACACTATGCTGTGATTAGTAAAACATGGAGTACTTGCCACACACCATGGTCAGGCAACAGAGTGGGAGAACAATCAGCGGTGCCTTTAATGATTAGAGAAGTGTATGGTTATGGTTCAGTAACAATGATCACTGCCACATATATGCTGCCTCTAACATATATTGGTCAGTTAAACATAAAGGATGAATGTAATTCAATTGAACAATCGTATTTTCATCATCATCATCACATCAGTAGAGAGATGGACTATCAGTTTAGATTATGGTACTTAATTATAATTACAAAGAGTTTCACAGGGGTAAACTCATGAACCATGAAAAATCATACCGCACATGCAATGAATCACAAGATCATTCAAACATAATGGTACAATGAGTGAATCAAAAAACTCATGGTCTGAATTAGTGAATCTGTACTTGCCCATAATAAGCGAGTTGCCACGAGAAGCACCCGCCAGTAATATAGTAAGGAGGGAACTAATTAAGATGGTTTACACATGTAGAAAGAAGAATTAACTACTACAATTGAGATAGAAGCAACTAGATGAGCCAACAAGCAATTCACCCAAGGCTGTTGAGAGTGAGGAGAAGGTTGAGGCACATGAGCATGCCATTGTGAGTGTGTGTCTACATTCAGACCATGTTGAAGGAAAAGGCTTTTTCTCTGGCACCCAAAAATCCACTGTGGCCAGTGCTGATGCAAGCCATTTGCAACCGAATGATGCTACTAATGCTAACCAGTAACCAGGTATACATTCCCATCTCGCATTCGGTACACTTGTTAGTGTTAGTAATTTTACCCTTTGCAACCGGATGCAATTGAGGCCAGGGGTGCAGGATACTATGCCAAGTGACCCTCTCGGGCCTTCTACTTTAGTGGAAGATGGACCATCAACAATTAGTGCAGCAAAGCCAGATATGGGGTTTACTGGCTGACCAAAGTCCAATTTAAGTGAGCCACTGGTAACTCTTTTGCCTGCCCTGTACTAATTTATTTTTACAACCTGATTTGGATCCCAAGTCTCCAAAACCACTCCAATGATCTTGTAACTTGCTAAACAAGGGGATGATGTAAATTTTTTTTTTTTTTTGATAAATAAGGGGATGATGTAAATTTCCTTTACAATATCTCTCAGAAAGGATTTGGACAATAGGTGCTTTAGTTGGCTACACTATCATTTGTTATGTTAAACAATCTGCCAGAAGTGTGGAACAATGTGAAAGTGGAAATGTTAACTCTTGATAATGAGTTTTTTATCTTTAAAGATGAGAAGACAGTTAACAAATTCTTGACAATGGCCCTCATCACTTTGAGGGGAAAACATTTGATTATTAAAGGGCGCAGGAGTTTTCAAGTGTTCCAATTTGGGTTAATTTCTACAAAGTGCCTCTAAAGAGAGTTATGGACTGTAGAGGATTTGAGTTTTGTTGCAAGCAATATTGGCAAACCATTATTTATGGATTACGCTGCACAATCTGGGAATAAACCCTCCTTTGCCTTCATATGTAATGAAATCAAAGTATCGTATGATATCCCAAAATCCTTTAACCTTGTTTTTGGTTATGACGGGCCTTATGCTGTGTTTGGTTGGAAGATTTGGAGAGCGATTTGGAAAGGAAAATGGAAAAGGTAGGTGGAATGTGAATAAAATATGTCTATATTTCACCTAGTTTCACACACCTTTTCCCTTTCCCTTTCCAAATCCCTCCCCAAATCCCCTAACCAAACACAGCATTAATGAGATTTAGGAGGAAACTATTTGGAGGCCCAAGAGATATGCAAGCTGCAAAACTTTGGGGCATTCTCAATTTGCTTGTCCCTCCTCCAATAATATCACAAATACAAAAAAACATGTGGAGAAAAAAAGGTGTAGTGAAGGCCATCCCTTCAAATGATTGGGTTGAGGTCCCAGCCAAGAGAAATGTAGGAAAGAATGAGGGGACAAAAATTGCCATAGGGCAAGTTTCCAACTTCCCTAAAAGTGTTGAGCAAAGATAAATTAAAGGGAAAATTGACTACTTATAGATGGATCATGACAATCCCCTTCAATTCAAGCAACCGTGTTGAAGAAGTCAAGCCAAGAGCTCTAAAGTTTGCATTATTTATCCCTAGTTGGAGAAATTTGTAGTGTTATTTTTTTGTCCTAAGCTTTGTGCTATTAGTCTTATTCTTTAAGCCTATATTTTATCTCTAGTTGCTTTTGTTCTTCTTTGTTTGCCTATTGTGCATGGAGGTTGCATGCCTCATGTGGTTGTTGCCCTTTGGGTTTGTATTGAGCTAAATAACATAAAATCGTATGCTCTGATCAAGGCATGGAAATTAGAACTTGACACTAGAAAACACATATAGAATTTACAATTAAAACTCCAAATTAGAATAGCTAGGAACATTATATACCTATGGGGACATCCCCACCCGAACTCCGGATGAGTATGTCGTGCTTAGTAGAAGTGGTTGAGCAGAGTAGGCTGAGCCACCCAAAGTGTGCCAAGGCAATCAGTGCAGAGTGGCCAATCTCACTACAGAGAGTTGACTTATGTGGACTATAAATACTCTTAAAATCAAGCTGACAAATGAACCTAGGATTGTGCCACACAATGCGTTGATGGCTAAAATCAAATGAAAGTTTCCCTTGACTCCCATAAGCAACAACTCCTATACAAATGGATATAGAGCACAAGGTAAGGAGGCTCTATCTCTTTCATTCTTTCTCATCTCTCTCCCTTTGAATACTAGACTCCTGACTTAACCATTGGAGAGCTTTAGGCTGACATCATACTGGTACCACTCCGATAAATATTTGTCTTGTGCAGGTAATCGATCGCTATATGAGTCGCCGTATGGAAAAGGGCATAATCATCTATCATTATAAAATTTGAATATTTCCTAGTTTAGACTGACACGACAGCATACTGAACACAAAATTAAAGGTTTGAAACATATTACAAGCCACAAACTGTTCAGAGCAAACACTAACTGAGAAGTCCCAACTATAAATCTACTGAGCATTAGTATTACATAACAAAGACCCCATAGCCAGAATGACAGTACCTACCAATTAATAGTTGATCAAGAACCATAAAATAATCAATGGTTAGATAATTGTCCAGAGCCCTAATATCTCACTAGGAGGTCAAGAGTTCAATTGTCCAACTTGCTTAATAGGAGATCAAAATTCAACTCTCCTAATTACATCTGAGTGAGTCTTATTCTCCTTGAATTTGTATACGAAAATAACAAATCAAAGCAAACGACTAAGTAAATTAACATAAACCAACAAATTGGTCCCTAATCCCTATGTATGTATATTATGTATATTAGCAGCAGGTGCACACAGGATACATTTGCAATTTTATATCATAAAAATGAATTAGTAAGATGAATTGAAATTGAAAACTACTAGCAATTAACAAGAAGAACATTAGAAGGTGATGGTAAGAACGAGGAAGAAGTTAACCCTAACCTTCAAGCACTGTTCCAAAAACAATGTTCTTGTTATCAAGCTGAGGACAAGGACCAGGCCCAGTAGTAATCAAAAACTCGACATTCCGATAATTCGGATCGAGCTTAATCTCATCATCATCATCATTCTCGGATAAACACAGAGAAACAACACCAGCTCTCGAATGACCTAGCAAAAAAGCCCTAGGATCAACGGACTCAGTGTTTCGAACCAAGTCAGTCGGCGGCTTGACCTCCCCCTTATCACGGCGACCTTGGCGGCCGGCGACGAAGAACTGGCCGGGGAATAATTTATGGACCAAAGTGCCCCTGTAGGAGGAAGCAGAGGAACCGGTGCACATGGACTTGAAATTGGAGACAGTGAGGGGGACGAGATTGCCGTAGAGGCCGAGGACGAGTCGGCCTAGCGGTTCGGAGTCGGCGCATTGGGAGAGTTCGTCGCCTAGGGTTCGGTTTTGGAAGTAGGTGGGGCAGACGCTGAAGTCCATGAAGATGCGGTCGGTGATGGTGGTGTCTGGCGGTGGTGGTGGGGCGGCGGAGAGGGGGGAGGAGAGGGAGAGAGTGGTGGTGGTGGTGGTGGAGAGGAGGAGGAGGGAGCGGCGGTTGATGAAGTGGAGGTTAGGGAGGAGGGGGGAGGAGGAGGAAGGGAAGGGAAGGGCCGTTTTTTTATGGAGGGGGCCATAACCAGTGGGAGGAGGAGGAGGAGGAGGAGGAGGAGGCGGGGTCGGAGGCGGAGGAGACGGCGCACCGTTGCTGCGACGAGGTGGGTCGGACGACGATCGGACGGCTGCTGCGACGAGGTGGGTCGAACGACGATCGGACGGCTGCTGCGACGAGGCTGCGACTCCCTCCTCCTTCCTCCCTCTTCTCCCTCTCCGCTCCCCTCCCTCTGGTTTCTCTGCGAAGAGAGAGAAAGCAACAACGAAGAAGAAGAAGAAAAGAAAAAAAAAAAAAACCCCCAAAAATTCTTAAAAAATAGTGTTTAGTTCAATTTTTCAAACACATACTTTCTGATATCCGATCAACTTAATTTTTACAGGTATGATATACTGAATAAATCATAAATATAAACGGTTCAGATTATCAAAATTGAGCTAAAAATAGACCCAAAGCCTGCAAGGACGGACGCAAGCACAACTTGAAGGGAGAGTCTCTTGACTCAAACCACGCTCCTCTTTACTCTCTCTCTCCTGCGCTCTCCTCTCTCCACCATGCACCGTCGCCATGTTCTCCTCCTGCCGCTGCTCCACCACCCTCCCCTCCTCCCCTCCTCCTAACCTCCACTTCATCAACCGCCGCTCCCTCCTCCTCCTCTCCACCACCACCACCACCCTCTCCTCTCCTCCCCCCTCTCCGCCGCCCCACCACACCGCCAGACACCACCATCACCGACCGCATCTTCATGGACTTCAGCGTCTGCCCCACCTACTTCCAAAAACGAACCCTAGGCGACGAACTCTCCCAATGCGCCGACTCCGAACCGCTAGGCCGACTCTGTCCTCGGCCTCTACGCAATCTCGTCCCCCTCAACCCTGCTACAGAAATATCCAAAAGCCAATTAGAGAATACACCGTTCCACCTCTGACTCTTCCTCACAGGGCCAACTATTCGCATCACCACTTTTCAAAACATACCCACACGGCAGTATATATCGAGACGCCGGCCGCTCAAACGCAATGAAAGAGGGTTTAAAAGAGTCATACCCACCATATAAACTCCAATTTTTCTCTCTCATCTT